GGCGAGCACACATGCCCTATAGCAAAAACCTCTCCAAAAAATAAAAAAATTAAAAAAAACTATTCGAAGGACCAACAGTTGGCGTAATGGCTATGTCACTGGACTCCTATGTAGTCAACCACGGTTCGAGTCCCGGACCCCGTGGTTTAAACTCATGCCAGGCGCGTATGTGTGCATGCCCAAGATCCCAAGAGGAGAATGGAGGAAAAGGGATTATGGTGTGGCCATCCGCACTGGGAGTAATTTCTCACTTTCTGTCTCTGTCTGTTTTTCTGGTGGGCGCACCCACCCTATAGCAAAAAAAACTCTAAAAAAAAAGAAGAAAGAAGAAATTATTTGATTTCTTGCAATAGTTGTTTATAATTATTATGCAAAGTTTATGTTCACGGGAATACTGAGTAGATTTTCCTTCTTCAGAGTCTATGTAAACTAAATTGTCTCTATTTAGAGTATTTCTATATTACTATCTTCCATATTTAAATCCTTATTACATATTTTCTGGAGGAAAAGATTAATAAAATATTACTTGTTATTGTAAAATTAGGGTAAACTACACAGCATGGAAAACTTTTCACTGCAAGTTTATTTTCTTAAATTTGTAAAGATTATTTCACACAGAACTTAATTATCCTCTGAATATCTCTTTATTTTTCACATGGTGAGTCTATAAATACCAGGCTGAAAGTTTCTGTCAGGAAGAATTAGCCTTAAGAATGGCGTGGGGAGGAGGAAGGAGAATAAAAAGAAAACCTTCAATTATATTCCACACCCTTCAATGATGACTTAGAGTAACCTGGACTTTGGACATAGAGAGAAACCACTAATGAAATTGAAACATATTCAGTCTATGACCTAAATCTGTCTTTTTTGGTTTTTATTATTGCTAATATATTTATAACAAAAATACTATTCATAGTTTCCTAATAGTCTCACATTTGTTTTCATTTTCTGTTTGGTCCTCTGCTCTTCTATTTATTTTAAAAAAGCACTTGGAGGGAAAAAAAAAGAACATTGTAAAGGATCTTAAAGGAATAGACTGCTTAAAAGCAGTACAAGATGTATAACATGTTTCTCACGTGTTCCTTAACAGGGCATGTGGGGGAGAGGTTTACGCATGAAGGACCTTCTGTTTTGTATAGAGTTGTCCTACTTTCAGTCCGTCCAAGCAGTCTGGCCTCTCCAGGTCCAGGAAGTTACGGGCTTGAGGAGTCGGGTTCTTTTGTTGGTGGTGTCACCGCTTTTAATTCTCAATGCACTGGTTCTTTTCTTACATAAAGCTTCATTACAGGGTTGGTAGGATGAGTAATAAAGGCTCACTTTGATCATATGGATAACACTAGAAAGTGACAGAAATAGAAGAAAGAAATAGAGTACTTTAAAAAATACAAAGTACTGGGAACCAGCAGTTAGCGTAATGGCTATGTCGCTGGACTCCCACGTAGTCGACCACAGTTCGTGTCCCGGACCCGGTGGCTTAAAACTCACGCCGGGCGCGTGTGCGTGCATGCCCAAGATCCCGAGAGGAGAATGGAGGAGAAGGGATTGCGGCGTGACCATCCCCCC